ATTTGGCTGCTTACAAACTTGGTAAACCAGATACTGACCTGTGACTAACTTATTTGGCTGCTTACAAACTTGGTAAACCAGATACTGACCTGTGACTAACTTATTTGGCTGCTTACAAACTTGGTAAACCAGATACTGACCTATGACTAACTTATTTGGCTGCTTAAACTTGGTAAGCCAGATACTGACCTGTGACTAACTTATTTGGCTGCTTACAAACTTGGTAAACCAGATACTGACCTATGACTAACTTATTTGGCTGCTTAAACTTGGTAAGCCAGATACTGACCTGTGACTAACTTATTTGGCTGCTTACAAACTAGGTAAACCAGATACTGACCTGTGACTAACTTATTTGGCTGCTTACAAACTTGACAAACCAGAATACTTCCTTCCAGGACCCACCAAAAGACAGAGAAGTGAAGGGTTCACTTTACTATTTCAATAAGTGCTACCGCTTAGTGAAACTTGTCATACACTGAAGTCTCTATAAGCTAGAGTTCAAGTTCCAGGGGTACAACCTGTTCTCCAACAGAATAACAACTACATTTATGCTTAAGAATAAAATTTAATTTATGCAGAAGCTCTCAGTAGTACATCTCTAAACATACCCAAGATGTAAACTTGAATACATTGATTTTATCAACAAGAGGCTTCAGAAGAGATATAAACAACATTGGAGGTTAAAAACCACTAGTAGTTCAAAGAAAGTGACCAGTTGACTTATAAAACCGACCCTAAACAACAGAGAGCAGGATCTACTTCTTAAACTTAGTGAAATTACAGTTTTCTTTAGAGATCCTAATGAGAAAGAACCTTACCCACACAAGCAAAGCATGTGTCAGAGACCTTCCGTCATAACACAGAGTGGTAACCATATATAATTCAAGTAAATTAAGTTAAAATTCTACAAATGGGGTCAAATATATAACCACAAAGTGTAAGAGGTCATTGTGGAAATATGGACACTTACTCTCAGGGATGTAGAACAATCCCAAGTGGCAGTTGGAACACAGAAGAGAAAGAAATAGTTAAGTGTTCTGATTAACCTTCTTGCTATGGGTAAGTCAAAGTTCACATGTCATGAATTTTTAGTTACATTCAAAATTTAACTAAACTACCCTTATTACCACTCTATATGAGTAAACTTAGCATCAAAATGTAGTTAATAACTCAAATCCTAACACAAGTTTTAAGTTCTTAACTTTATAGAGAAATATTTACAAAAATCCTCAATCTCTCCTAGTAAGAAAATTGTGACATTTGTTTTCTAGGTTTTCCCTCTTCTCTAATATACCTTTCAAGAAGGGTCACAGGTGAAAAGCCATATCATCTCATTT